ACAGGGCTCTGGGTTCCATTCCCAGCACTGCATAAACCTAGGATAGTGGCACATACCCGTAATCCCAGATCTTGGGAGGTGGAGGCAAGAGGATCAGAAGTTCATGGCTATCCTAGGCTACACAGTGTGTATGAGGTCAGCTATTCGACCTTGGGTATGTGAAGGAAGATCTGGTTGGGAAAATCATCTGCTCACAGTGTCTCCAATCACCCCTAGATGAAATCTACTACACTAGAACTCTCAAGATCTTTGACCCTTTGCAGAGTGATCAGCTCTGGTGGCTTCCTGTGTCACCTAGGTCATGGGAATGTACCTCACTGAGAGGTACCCCACTCCAGATACACTGCTGAGATACCCGGGAGGAGGAGTGTAGTTTCATAATTGTGACCATCTCTGGCCCACCTTCTCTGTGACTCACAAGGGTTGGGCCACATGTGGGTCCTGGTAGGAATGAATTTGGCCACTTTGATCTCAGCCACTGAGAAGGTGGTGGCCCTGAACAAGTGACTTTGCCACTAAGATACTAAAACAGGTCTGGGAATGCAGCTCCAGCAGTAGGGTGCAAGCATGAAGCTCCGGGATCCATCCTAGTACCACATAAGCCAAACACGATGGAATGCTCATACCCATACTTCCAGCTCTCAGAGGTAGAGGCAGGAGGATCAGGAATTCAAGGTCATCCTTAGCTACACAGAAGTTCCAGGCCAGCACTACAATAGACCAAAGTAATGACTGCACCAAAGTCCAAATTGGTAAGCTAATCAGTTTTTCGTGGCATGACTACTAATGGGAATATGGGTGTATGTGTGGGAGGTTACTTATGGAGCAAGGATACTCAAAAGTGGTTGCATCACAGGAAAGTCCACCCCAACCAAGGAGACAACACAGGAAAGCTGCAGCCCTGGAGCTCTCTGAAAGATACACAGGCAGTGGGACAGTCTGAGAATCTGTCCTCTCTGTAGGTCAGCTTGTCACATTACTTCACCCAAAAGTTACTTGTTTCTTTTATAAAACTGGGGAGGGATTTCAAGAGTGTTCCAAGTTTTCACTTTCCTGGACACAGTGGCCTTTTGCTTGCCTCTATGAGTCTCCTGGAGGGAATGGTTTAATGCAAGGAAGCTGCCATACAACAGGTGTAGTGGCTGCCACTCAGGAGGCTGAGCCAGAAGGATTACCTGGAATCACAGGAAAATCGAAAGATTGTCTCTTAAGGCAGAGGCCATGAGCACAGAGATGGGGACAAAGGACAAGGTGCTTTTGAAAACTAAAGTCTGCTCCCCATCTCTCCTATTCAGTACTAAGACCCCCACTTTTGGCAGCCATAGCCAGTCTACTTTCCTTACCCCAGAAGCCATCATGGATACCTCTAGCTGTCCTCCGAGCCCTCAGGGAATGCCGGGGATGGGAGCTTACCACCCCTACCCTCCTGGGAGAGACTGGACTCAGAGAAACACCCCTGAGAGCATAGCTGTGGCTAGACAGTGGGCCGTATCTGCTCACAGTCTCCATTTGTCCATTCTTTGATTCATCCCCCATGAAGATGAAGGGGGCAATTCTGGCTAAACACTACATCCACCATTAGAGCAGGAGGCAGCCGTTGCACTGGCATGAACTTCCATCTGCCATGACAGCCATCTCACAGGCCTAGGCAGTAGACACTGCCCTATCAGCACTGGGGGGGGGGGGTAATGCTTCAGTGCCTAAGGGGATCCATAAAACATCCTGTAGTCTGGCCTTTCCAAGGATCTAGTCTTTCTTTTCAGGGATCTGAGCTCCTGGGAAAGGGGTTTTAGGGTCACCAAAGTCAATAGAACTGTTACCCCTTCCCATTGGGCTGGTGCTAGCCCACTGCTGTCTGTAGCCTTATTGCTTAATGATTTCTGTTGCTAGCCTCAGTTTACCTCCATTTTTCCAGCTTTGCCAGGGCCATCTGAGTTCTTCCATCTCCTGCTCTCTGGAGGAGAGTGGGGTGGGTACTTAATCCTCTCAGCATGTGCAACCTTCCTATGAAGGTGATTTTTTCCTTCCCACAATGCCCAGCCTCACATTGAAGGTGGATTTAACTCCCCAGAATGCCCAGTCTCCCTATGAGAGTGGATTTTCCTCCCCAAAGGAACAGTCTGGGATGAAGGGCGTGTCTTGTTTTAGCTTCAGGCACTGGTGGTTACAGGACCCTTCCCAGGGCAACAAGGGACAAATTACCAGGGTGTAGCCAACATCACCTCTGCCATAAAAGCCATCATAAAAGGGAGCATTTATCTGGGCAAGCCAAGCCATGGCCACCCATCTCCACAGCCACTCAGCAACTGAACCCATGGGAAATGGGTTGGGTGGGGCATCCGATCATAATCCCAGCATTCAGGAGTGGAGATGGGAATCCAGAGTTCCAAGGTCTTGATTCGTAGATCACGGCCCTATTAATTCATCCTACGGGTGTTGGTATTGCAGGTGTGCACCACCACAGCTGGCTGTGACTCTGTGTGTGTGTGTGCTCGAGAATGTTGAGGCCAGAAGGAAAGCTCAGATATTGTGTCTTAGTGGTACCTACCTTGTTTCTTCTGACAGGGTCCCTCATTGGCTTGTCAAGTGAGCCTCAGGGACATGCCTACCTCACTTCTCCAGTGAGGGAATAACAGCACGTGCATACCACCACACTTGTTGTTTTCCCCCAATATTTACTTATTTTTAATGCATATGGTATTTGCCTTCATATATGTCTGTATACTACATGTGTGCCTGGTGCCCTCAAAGGCCAGAAAAGGGTGTGTAATCCCCTGGAACTGGAGTTACCAGCAGTTAAGAGTGGTCATGTGAGTCTTGGAAACTGAAGCCAAGTCTTTTGAAAAAAAAAGAGCAAATGCTCTTATTGAGCCATCTCTCTAGAACCCTATCTTTTTGAGTTTTTTTTTTTTTAACCAAACTCAAGTCCTCATGTTTACAGGGGCCCTACTCCTGTTTTTCTGGATTTCTATTTTTGAAACTGGGTCTCTGGCTGTCCTGGAACTCGCTATATAGATCAGGTTTAGCCTTGAACTCAGAGATTCACCTCTGCCTTCCCAATGCTGGGATTAAAGGTGGGAGTCACCACCATGCCTGTGTTTTCTGGATCTCTTGCTTTGAAGGAACTAAGGAGAATAAGATATCCTAACAAAATCTCCATGAGAATAGATTCATGAAGCCAGATAAATGGTACCAAAACCAGCTGACCTCAGGGAAAGAGTTCCTCAGAGAGGACCAACTGGGATGGGTCCTGCTGTGCATGAGATTGTGGGAGCACTGATGAGGATAAACGGAAGCATCCTACAAATCTTGAGATGGGCCTTGCTGTCACTGCTGTTGTAGGCAGGTCATAGCTGGCAATGACAGACTTGGATGGCTCCTCCTACTGGTCAGTTCTGGAAGAAGTAATTAGGAGCAAGACTAGATTGGACCCATTGTAAGTGATCAAGGTGTCTGCAGCATACTGGGCTACAGCGTGAACTGACCACACAGAAAGCCAAGGGCTTTCAGGTACTTACTTGCCCACATTGTCCCAACATATGTCCAGAGTGTCTCAAGACTCACTCCAAAAAGTCCTGGGAAGGCTCTGTGTGTGGGCTTAAGAGCCTTGGTCATTGTTGCTAGCGCTAGGGGGCACCTCCTGTACACCCGGTTCTCAGTCCTGGGCATCATTTAGGTCTGAAAGAAGGATGTTAAAATGCATTCTGGGCATTGTCTCCCATCCAAGGGCCACAGGACCATCACCCTCCAACTCCATCCTTCCTTTGGGATAGGAAGAGGGAGGATGGCTCCCATCTAAGAACATCTTGGTACATACTTGGTCTAGGACTCAGACTACTGCATTTGGCTGGAGTAAAGGAAGCTTCGTGTGGGACAATGCTCTTGTTCTCCACCGAGGCCTATAGAGAAGAGCCGCATATCAGCACATTCCCACATGGGAGAGAAATGGCTCTCTATCCATTGCTTACAAAAAACAAAACAAAACAACAACAACAAAACAAAAACGAGAAATGATGGTGGGCATGGTGTTGCATGCTTGGGATCCTAGCACTCAGGGGTGGATGCAGGAGGATCAAGAGCTCCAAGCCAATGCCAGTGAGATGGCTCAGTGGGTAAAGGTATCCGCTGCCATGGCTGACGACCTGAGTTCGCTCTCTAGAACCCATACGATAAATAAAGAACTGACTCCCTAAAGTCGCCCTCAGATTTCCACATATTCGAGATAGCATGCGCACACCAGTTCACAAGCATACATATACACATGAAAGTAAGTAAATATTTTAAAGTTTTATAAGCGTCCCAGGCCAGTCTGAGCTGCATACTTAAGACCCTATGCTATCTGTCTCAGACAAGTCAAAAGGTGAGGGTGTAGGTCAGAAGAGGACGCTAGGTACCCCTTCCTTCTTTGTAGGGTGCACTTACCCTACAGACTATGTGGTGTAACTGACCCACGTCCCAGCGCCCAGCTCCCTTTGCCTCCTTCACCTGGAATTGGTATTACGTCCAGAACATGGTCAACGCCCAGCTGGTTTCCATCCCCTATGCCAAGGCCCCCGGGAGGAACCTGCAGTCGCAGCCTCAGGACCACAGTGGGTAGCACAGACGACAGTGGGTGGCATAGAGACACGATGTCTAGGCTGAAAGGCCTGGGAAACGTGGGGCGCAGACACTCCGGGTGAGTGTCACGCTCGCCTATCATCCCCCCACCTTGGGAAGGGCGCACTGACCCCGCACTGGGTGTGCTGGAGATGGACAGCGACACGGGTTCAGCATCGAGACAACAGCACGTGGAAGGATCGAGGTGGAGTCAGTGACTGGGCGGCGATGGGCGTGACCAACAGGGGGCGTGGCCTTAGTGTGAAGAGGTGTGAGCAGCAAGGGGCGGGATCGGATAGGGGGCGTGGCCATCAC